CCCGCTCCCGCCGCTTTAAGCGCTTCTCTTCCTTCCCCTTCGTCCTAACATCCCAATTTACAAAATTTTTGACATTCTGTAAATGACTCTTGTGAGCCAGAGCCAGGATGTCAGATTCAGAAGTGTACAAACTAAATGCCAACCTGGAATGGGTGAGCTGGACACAAGACTGAGCCCAGGGCACCTGCACTCCAGCTCCTGTGGGGTGCGAGGCGTGCGTGCCAGCCTGAGGATCAAGGCCTCTCGTGGGGGACACCTCTTAGCGCTTCCTTCAGTCAACTCAGTCTACAGATACGCGACTGGGTAGAGAGACCCGAAACCTGCAGAAGAGCACAAATCTCTTGCTAAAGAGCACACCCTTCTTTCATGTGGCAAGAGAATTGCATGCAAAATTCACTCATCAAAATTCACTTCAGCCAGAAGCCCGGACCTGGTTGGCCTTTCCAGGAACTGTGGGTGACTACCACGCTGAGCCCTCCTGAAAAGCAAAGCCCCTTGCCTCGATCTTTCCCTGACCTCTCCTTCAATACTGTTCACTGAGACATGCAGAACGGGCCAAACTGAAACAGATGTTCCCTTAATTGACTAAAGGAATGGGTCAAATCCAGGAGATACACCAGTTTGTCTCATTGTAGCACATGGACAAGAACTGTCGCCACTGTTGATGGCTGGACTGGGGGGTCAAGAAAGAGCCTGTGAGGTTTCAGGGCTATGACACGAGATAATATCTCAGCTGAGGCCATGAGATTCCATAAGAATTCCTGAGTGAGGACTGGCCAAATAGCTCACCAGACTAAAGCACCTGCAAGCAGGCACAGGGGCCGGGAGTTCAATCCCCAGGCCTGTCTGTCATGTTGGCCCAACCCCCAGGGCTTGCTGAAGACTGGGCATGCTGGCACATGCCTGTAATCCCAGCACTTGGGAGGCTGTATACAGGTGGATCGCTATGAGTCAGATCTAGTAGTGAGACCCTGAACACCCTGTAGACCCTTCTCTAAAATACAGAAAGAAAAAATAATTAATAAATTAAAATCCTGGGCCCGTGGAGATAGCTCAGTAGAATAAGCACATGCCTTGCAAGTGCAGGGTCCTGAGTTCAATCCCCAGTATTGCAAAAAATAAATATATAAACTTTTTAAAAAAATTACTGAGTAAAAGTGCACCTTCTCAGCAATTAAGGTACCAGCATTGCACACATCAAACTATCTGTCTAGTTTATTTTAAACTATCAGCATTGCTAATTAGAGAGCCTTTGCGCCTGGTACAAAATTGCTCTATTTCTCCTCACAGAAAATCCCTGAAAAATTTCTTTTTCCTAGCACTCTGCCAAGACCTCCACCTACCTCCCTGATTGATAGCAATAAGAGCCACAAGCTTTTGGACTTGTGGCCTTCTGTCCTATAGAGAACACTGGCCGTCCCAGAGCTTCTCCTCTGCAGAACTCTCTCTCTCTTTGTCTTCATTTTGCATCTGTGTTGCCATGTTACTCGGTGAGGGACCTGAACCTCCTTGGAGTCTTGGGTAAGAAACAACAGAAGCATTATTAATTTACCTCCTTGAGGACAGACGCCTCCCTAAGCACTGGCTGAGCCCTCTTCCTCAAGGACTTGCAGTTGGCAGCTGAGGCTGCAGTCCCCCCACGACACCTCTGGAGCCACCGCTAGATCCAGACGCATCTGAGGTACTTCCTGCACTCTGCAGCCTCTGAGCAGGGTGAGCAGGCCTGGTGCCTTTGCAATTTTCTTTATGAAGAAGGCTGCCTGGGTTTGCTCTGTAAGAGGTGTCACAGGAGTCAGCCAATACAGGTGCAAAGACCTGAAGAGGATTTGCACATAAAAGGGCTGTTGTCACTTTTAGTTTGGGAATTATTCATAAGACTATTAAAGAGTATTGAAGAATCAAATCTGCTGTGTTAGGGTAGAAGAAAATTTACTTCTTATTTTAGAATTTTTTTTTTTTAACCAGGGATTGAACTCAGGCCCTTGTGCTTGCCAGGCAGGCACTTATTCTACTGAGCCATCTCCCCGGCCCCAAGAATTCTTTACCATGTGTGAATTTGTAATTTTATTTTAAATATAAGGGGAAAGAATACAAGCACATTTCAGTCAGCTGGATGGAATGGCTAGCCTAATATATAAATCTCTTCCTTCAGATTAAACTCATCATTAGTGTCTGTCAACAAATGTGGCAAAAACTAAAGTTTCTGGCATTGATCAAAGGGGATTTCTTAAGAACACATTTTTGAGGGCTGGTGCGATGGCTCAGTGGTCTAAAGCACCTACTTGGAACAAGCTTGGCAAAGCACAGAGACCGCAGTTCAATCCCCCAGCACCACATGCCAGCCAGCCCCGCCCCCTGGTGGGCTGAGCTGGCCACACACACACACACACACACACACACTAAATAAATAAATTTTTTTAAAAAAAGAACACATTTTTGAAAAGTGTATGAAGAGCCTGGCTCCACCTTTCATCTGGCAAAATAAAGCTGGTGTCTGTTTCCTTACTAAAAAAAAAAAAAAAAAAAAGGTGTACTTTTTCAAAACAAGATGGGCGTGGTGGCACATATCTGTAATTCCAGCACTTGAGAGGCTGAAGCAGGATCACCACAAGTTTGAGGCCAGCCTGGCTACATAGTGGATTCAAAGCCAGCCTCCATTACATAGTGAGACCCTGTCTCAAGGGGAAAAAAAAAATTAACAGTTTTAAACAGAATTTTTTCTTTTCTTTGCACTGTGCTCAAACAGAAGGCCTTATACATATTAAACATGCTTTTCCTTGGAACTATACCTCATACCTGAAATGAAAAAAAAAGTCTTTAAATCTTTTGGTTTCTCCTAGTAAATTCTTATCAAAATATCAAAATCATTCAGAAATCCTGATTCACAGAGCTTAACATTTTATCAGTTCAAAATTTTGAAGTGCTTTTATTATTTTCCAATGTTTTTATTATTTTCACAGATATTTGTAATACCCTCTTTTGGAGAAATAATTAAAATGATTCCTTTTTTGGTACCAGGGATGGAAAAAATAATTCCCTAATGAAAAATGAAATGAAATTACTGTAGCATCATACAGAGATTTGCCCGGCCCTGAGGACCGGCAGGATCCTGAAAGGGGACAGTGGGAAATTAAGAAAAAACTGTAAGCACATAGTAAAGGAAAGCTGGGACCCAGTGGGACCTGACTTCTCTGATAGAGAGGCGGTGACAAACCAGCACAGTCTTCATCTTTATTTATACATGATAAATAAGGAGGACACACCCAATGTGTGTGTGTGTGTGTGTGTGTGTGTGTGTGTGTGTGTGTAAGGTCTCAGTGTTTTGCTGAGAATACTGGAAGTGAATCATCCTCAGAGCTGACTGTGCTGTAGTCAACAAGGGCCAGACACCTGCTGGACTGGCCTTGCTGTAGCCCCAGCACCTCGCCAACGTGGCGCTCTCTGCAGCTCCGTGTTCTCGCGGCTGGCCTTGCTCTACCCCCAAATGTGTGGTCCATCTCCAGTTCAGCCGCTCCCCACAGAGATTTTATTGTATTTTTGTATGTTAACACTAGGTCCTTTGGCTTCTATTCTCCAGAAATATCAAAACCATTTTCAAAAGGCTGAACATTAAAGACCCCTTTTGTACAGTCTGTCAACAGCCACAGTTTTCAACAAGAAAACTGAAGGATGTGATTTTGTTTCTGATGGAACAGAGATGGGCAGCAGATAAAAAAACCTTGCCTTCTGCTAGCACTGACAACAATTTAAGAGATTTCCAGAGAAACGCGTCGTGTCACCCCAAAAGTCTGAGAGGTGTCTGCAGAAAATGAGTGGTGGGTGCAGCCAACGGAGAAGGGTGTCAGTCCACTAAATCTGGAGGCAGACCAAAGGGAAGCGATGAGTTTTAGGGTTTTCATAAATTTTAATCCTCGGCAAAAACTTCTTTTTTGACACCCAGTCATATTCGCATGCAGATGTTCACACAGAGCCTACCTATCCATAAATACACTGAAAAGTAAACGAAATGCCAACTCCAGTCTCCTTCCAGTTCCGAATTCTCATCATTTTCCTCCTTTTTTATGCAGACAGAAAATGTCTACAGCTTACTGACATCCATCCTGGATGCCTTCGCCTCCAAAGATGATACTGTTGTGATTCAGGCGTTGATCACCCTCCGAAGACTTGTGGAGAACCTGGACAAGGTGACCTACTCCTCCCTGTGTACTAAAATTGCTTCCAGCTACTTCCGTCTGATGGATCACGTGAGTGAGTCACACTGTTAGATGTCTGAGATACTTGGGTCTGAGGGTTCACCGGGAGCCTCAGTTGATGCAATGATCTTATATCCTAGAATAACTTAACAGAGGCCAGATGTTTTCTTTAGAGCCACCCTTGTTTTCCAGAGACAATAATATAGGAGCCCTCTTTTTAAAAACAACACTGACTGCTTAGGCAGACCCAGGGGCTAGGAGTTAGATCCCCAGGCCTGTCGTGCCAGCCCCAACCCTGGGGCACACTGAGACAGCGATGGAGACTGGGCTTGGTGGTGCGTGCCTGTAATCCCAAGCACTTGGGAGGCTGTAAACAGGAGGATCACTACGAGTCTGATCTATGCAATGAGACCCCATACACCCTGTCCTAAAAACAAAAAACAAACCAAAACATTAAGGGGCTCGGTGGTCTAAGTGCCTGCCTGGCAAGCTCAAGGACCTCGGTTCAATCCCCAGTACCACATGCCGTGCCACCATACCAGCCACCGAAACTGGGCATGGTGGTGTGTACCTGAAATCTCAGCTCTGGGGAGCCTGAGATAGGAGGATCACTTCAAGTCTGAGCTGTGTAGTAAGACCCTGTGCCAAATAAATAAACAAATAAATAAATAAACACAACACGGACAATCTGAAAAAGTCTGTCAATCAGAAAGTAGGATCAGGGACTGGGGAGATAGCTCCGTATATAAGCGGTTGCGTGGCAAGCGCAAGGGCCTGAGTTCAATCCCCAGTTCCACAAAAAAAAGAAAAAAGAAAAGAAAAGAAAAGAAAAGAAAGAAAAGAAAAGAAAAAGAAAAAGAAAAAAAAGTAGGATCAAAAACCAACACCTGCCCTTGGATGAGAGAGGATTGTAGCTTGGCAGCTACCTGTTGATCAGCCTTGGATCTGGACTCTGTAGGTTCATTTCCCTGAGCTGCTCTTAGTAGCTCTGATGTCCTAAGCAAGTCCCTTCTTCAGCTTCGGTGCATCAGTTTCCCTGTCTGTAAAACAGACAGCAGGAATTTCATCATGAGGTGAAGAGTTAATATGTGGGTGCCTCATGTAAGTGTTTGTTCTTGTCATCTAAGACTTAAATTCAAAAGTATTTCACTAGAAGTGTGCCTTTTGAAAATGCTCATTTTATATGATAAGCATATCCCAGAAAAGTTGAACAATAGTAATATACTTGGATAAATGTGAACACTTAGGTATGCCGTGGAAAATCTGTTTCTAAAGAATTCTCAGATGAGTTGTTTGTAAATCAGAATTAATTTATAGTAAATTGCCTTGCCAAAAGTTTTAAGATCTTAATTATTCATATTTAAATGAAGAGGGAACAATATTATTAAGTTACAGAAGAGAAAATAATTTTGTGGCTACATAGTTCTCATAAATACATGGTGATAATAATAATAATAACTGCAATTTGTTGAACATTTATTATGTTCCAGGCACTCTTTGAAAGGATTTACATGCTCTGTCATATACAATCATCTAAGCAACTCTTTATTAATATTTTATATAAGGAAATTGAGATTAACAGACAACATTTGGTCATACACGTGGTACCTTGGCATGTTTATGTAAAAATATTTTATAATAAGATCATAAACATTTCCCTTAAAAATAGATTATATATATATTTTTAATAAGCCTCTTCTGCCAGGCATGCTGGCCCTCATGTCTCATTCCAGCCCTGGAGAGGCTGAGGCAAGAAGATTGTCATGAGTTCAAGGCCAGCCTGAGTGAGGCCCTGCCTCAAAAAGTAAATAAATAAACAAACAAACAAGCAAATCAACCTCTCCCTCTGACTTATAATTTTCCTCTTCTGCAATCTTTGTAGTACAACCTATCCTGTTTGGCGGAAGCGACCCTTGGAAATCTAACCACACGGCAGCATGTAATAGCTCCCAGCGGCACTCAGTGGAAACTCTTCAAAATCCTCTAGCACTTGAACAAAGAGTGATGACTTTGCCACAAGTATCTTTATAGAAAGCACCCTCAGGGGCCGGGGACATGGCTCGGTAGAATAAGCCCTTGCCTGGCAAGCACAAGGGTCTGAGTTCAATCCCCGGTTCTGCAAAAAAAAAAAAAAAGAAAGAAAGAAAAGAAAGCACCCTCAAATTATAGGGACATTCTAATTTATATTTTAAGATCTTATTAAATAATAACCATCTCCCTGAATTTAAGAAACGCATTTCAAGGGAGAGGTTTGTAATGCAATATGAATTTCATAAGTAAATCTTTCACCAATTGCAGTGTTTTCCCAGCTTTATTACAGTATAGTTTATAGGGCCAGGGAGATAGCTCAGTAGAATAAGCGCTTGCCTGGCAAGCATGGGGTCCTCAGTTCAATCCCTGGCACCGAAAAAATATATATATAATTTACAACTAAAATTTCTACGCATTATTGTTCTGCAGTTTGATGTTTTGATGTATGTATACATCTTGAAATGATAGGCACACACTAATTAATATATCCCTCGCCTTATACATCATTTTGATGCAGATAACATTTAAGATCTAATTTTGGGCTGGCAAAATAAGCTCAGCGGACTAAATGCCTGCTTAGGCAAGCATAGGAACAGGGTTTGATCCCCAGCACCACATGCCGCACTGGCCTGGCCTGGACCCAGGTGCACTGCGTTGGCCACCGAGACCAGGGGCTTGCCTGTAATCCCAGCACTGGGGAGGCTGAAAAACATGAGGACCACTATGAGTCCAATCTGTGTAGTGAGCCCCTGTACTAAATACGTTTTTTAAAAAGATCTAATTTCCTAGCAATTTTCAAGTATAAACTGTTCACTCCTAATTATAGCCACCCTGCTGTACAGTAGATCCCCAACTCTTACTCATCCTAGCTGGAACTGCATGTCCTGAAATTAACCTCTCCTCCATTCCTCGAACCCCAGGCTCTGGCACCCATGGTTCTACTCTGTGCTTCAACCAGTTCAATTAAAAATGACAACAGGGGCTGGGGAGATGGCTCAGTAGAATAAGTGCTTGCCTGGCAAGCGCAAGGGCCTGAGTTCAATCCCCGGTTCCACCAAAAATAAATAAATAAATAAATAAATAAAGCAAAAAAGATTGTGCATATAAGTTAGTTCATGAAGTATTTTGTCTTTCTCTGCTAGGCCGATTTTATTTACCCTAATGTCTTCCACTTAGCATAAAATCTCTCCTGAGATTTTCTTCTTTATTGTGACTAGAAGTATTTGTGTGTGTGTGTACTCTTTACCCTTTGTTACACTAATGAATAGTTAGGTCAATTCTATATTGTTCTTATTATGAATAATGGGTAAGCAAATATTATGCTAAAACCAAAATAAAGGGGGTGGGGAGATAGCTCAGCAGCATTAAGGGCCTGCCTGGAAAGCACAAGGTAAAGAGTTTGATCCCTGATACCACGCACACACACAAAAAAGCTGACTTCTTAGACCCAATCTCTCCTAAAAATAAATAAAAAGAATTTCACACATGTGTGTATAGAGATAGGCAGCTTATATATTTATATGATATAATGTTCTAATATCATTTTCATACGAGGTCTTTTTCTTTTCTACGGACACATTTCAGCATTATGGAACTATTCGGAGCTTGGCTATCAGGCACTTCGCAGAGTTACTGAGAGACATGAGCCAAGAAGCATCCACTTTGAAGAATATGCTTGGAGGCTTTGCGCCCCTCATCCTCTGTCTGGAGGACAAGGACACTAGGGTAGTGAGTGTAAGTACAAGCAAGTAAAAGTAAGGACTTATTGCACATTTCTTAACTGCAGAAAATGACAATATTTTATGTAATAGCAGATAAGCAGGTCTTCACTGTCCTCATTCTGTCTCCTAGGCCTGTAAATACACATTAACAATCTGTGACTCCCAACTGGAATGGCCAATATCAAATTTGCTTAAAGATGAAAGTTATAATTTTGAACTGGTAGTTATCCACGTCTGTAACTATCTTGTAAGTAGACTTTGCACATTTACTGCCAAGAACTAAAGGCAAAACATAAAGGGTATCCAAGTGACAAAGAGATGTAGGGCATAGGTTGATCTGGGGAAAGAATGTGAATTAGAAGGGAAATTACAGCTAGGGATTGAGATGAGAAAAAAAAAATTAGAGTTCTCTACTTCTTCATCCATTTTGATCATCCAGCTTGCCTTCTTCACCCAAAAAGCAAGGATGGAAGAAGGCTGAAGGCAAGTTGAAACCAAAGTTGAATTGGGAAGGCCAAGTTGAGTCTGGGCATAACAAATAATAGCTGCAAGTAGCTAGAAGGGTAGAGTTCTTGCATAAAAATCCCCCAAGTTGGGCTGGGGAGATAGCTTGGTGGTCTGAGCACCTGCCTGGCCAGCTCAAGGACCCAGGTTCAATCCCCGGTACTGCATGCCGTTCAGGCCCCGGAAGCCCAGGTGCCCTGTGCTGGGCCAAAACTGGGTGTGGTGGCTCACACCTGTAATCTCAGTGCTGGGGAGGCTGAAATGGGAGGGTCACCACAAGTGTGTACTGCATAGCAAGATCCTGTATCAAAAGCAAAAAACAAACAAACAAACAAAAAAATCCCAAGTTTTTAACTGGTCCTGATTTCGCATAAGCACTCAGATTATTTGGTCTCAAAGCTTCCCTGGAGAGAGCACATGCCGTTTTTCACTGATTAAGAGAGATATGTTTTCTCCTTTTTTTTTTTTTTTTTTTTTATTTTAGGGAAGGATCTACAGGGTGTTCAGGGTCTCACTACTAGATCAGACTCGTAGTGACCCACCTGTTTACAGGCCCCCAAAGCTGGAATTACAGGCAAGCACCACCACGCCCAGTCTCAACTGCTCTCTCAGCGTGCCCCAGGGGCGAGGTCAGCATGGGAGGCCTGAGGACCAAATATTTTTTTCCTTTTTATCCCCAGATCGTTTCTCATGAGAGTTGTGTTACATATTTGATTTGTGATGCCTTAAAGTTCCTGGGGAATATCCAAGTGCATCTGAGGAGAGCAGCAGTTATTTTACTAGGTAAATACATGAATTCTTACTTCTTAATTTAACTTTAAAGGTACAGAATGGCAGTTAGGGGTCTTCATTAAAAATTTATAGAGCCAGGGAGGTGACTCCCACCTGGGATCCCAGTACCCAGGCTGAGGCAGGAGTGTGCTGTGAGTTCCAGGCCAGCCTGGACTACACAGCAAGACCTTGTGTCAAAGAATTAAAAAATAAAAAAGAGGAGGAGGATTCTAACTGTATTTAGAAGCACAAAAACCCCAAATCCTGTTGGGAGGAGTAGCTACTAATTCTATCACATATAAAAATTTATTATCAGCTATAGAACTTTAGATAGTCTGTTACTCAAGGAAACACAAGCAAACCTGTGGAAGAAAATAAAAGGCCTAGAAACAGACTCACCCTTATACATAAAGTATAATCAGAACTGGGGGGATCTGTGAGATCAGAAAATGACAAACTCGGGGACAGCAAGATAACTCAGTGGTCTAAAGCACCTGCTTAGGTGAACTTAGGCAGGCTCAGGAGAACACGGTTCGATCCCCAGAGCCACATACCATACCAGCCCTACACTCAGGGCAGCGCTGAGCTGGCCAAATAAGAATAATGATAACAACAACTATAATAATAATAATAGAAAAATGGCAGACTCAGGGCCAGTGAGATATCTCAGCAGACTAAGTGCCTGCTTAGGCAAGCTCAGGGACCGGGATTCGATCCCAGCATCACCTGCCACACTGGCCCCACCCCAGGCGCACTGGGCCAGCCACTAAGACCAAGTTTGGTAGCACTCACCTGATATTCCAGCACTGGGGAGACCGAAAGCAGAAAGATCACTACGTGTCCGAGCCTTATGTGTAGTGTGCCCCCGTAGCAAATACATTTTTAAAAAGGACAGACTTAGCCGGGTATAGTGGTACACACCTGTAATCCCAGCACTCAGGAGGCTGAGGCAGAAAAGTCACTGGAAGGTCAAGGCCATCCTGGGCTACAAAGTGAGTTTAAGTACAGCCTAAACCTAAGTAGCCAGACCTTTTCTCAAAAAGTCAAGAAAGGGATGGGGCAAAGAGGGAAGGAGAAGGAAGGAAGGAAAGAAGGGAGGAAGGAAGAGAGGGAGGGAGGCAGGGAGGGAAGGAGGGAGGGAGGGAGGAAGGGATGGAGGGAAGAAAAGAAAGAAAATAATGGACTGGCTGATAAAAGTTGCAAGAACAACTAGGAACACACGTGTGCGCCACACATACATGTATACATGCACGTGCACACACACACACATGTGCATGGATTCCTGGGTTTCTGCTCAAAGATTAAATCCAGGCATAGCAAAGTTAATATAAGCACAAACATTTAAAATGTTTAGAAAACTAGGATAGGGGACTGGGGAGATGGCTGAGTAGAATAAGCACTTGCCTGGCAAGCTCAAGGGCCTGAGTTCAATCCCTGGTTCTGAAAAAAAAAAAAAAAAAAAGATTTATACACCATAGAAAACTAGGATAACAGCTTTATAACCAAATGTAGGCAAAATATTTCAAAAGAAAACAATATGAAAATCAAGTAACAAGCTGAGAGGAACATTTGTAACATGAGTCACTATAACATATTAATATTCAAAGCATATTAAGTACAAGAGCTCAATATGAAAAGGGCAATAATCCAATGGACTAAAAAATTAAAAGTGTAAAATATATGAAAATAAAAACCAAGAAAAGAAAAGAAAAAACATTAAGAGGCTTTCATGAGACAGACATGAAAACACATAATCATATGAAAAATTATTTAGCAATATTTATCATCAAAGGCACACAAATTAAAGCTGGAATGATACCCTGTCAAACAACCAAGAAAAGGCACCCTGAGACTGCATTTGAGACTGGGCATGGTGTCACTCACCTGTAATCCCAGTGCTTGGGAGCCTGAAAACAGGAGGACCACTATGAGTCCAATCTAGGTAGTGAGACCCTGTAGACCCTGTAGACCCTGTACTAAATACGTAAAAAAAGAAGGCAAGAAAAATAAAATATTTAAATTGAACTGGGGCTGGTGAGATGGCTCAGTGGTCTAAAGCACCTACTTAGAACAAGCTTAGCAAAGCACAGGGACCAGGATTCAATCCCCCAGCACCACATGCCAGCCAGCCCCGCCCCCTGGTGGGCTGAGCTGGCCACACGCACGCACGCACACACACACACACGCACACACACACACACACACACACACACAAATAAATAAAATTTAAAAAAAATAAAAAATAAAATAAAATTGAACCTTATCTTCATCAAACAATGGAAGGCAACCACCAAATGGAAGAAGATATTCATAACCTGTATATCTTGACAAAGATCACCAGAATAAATGAGTAACTTGTGTAAGTTAATAAAAAAAGAAAAGGTCACCCAAGAAAAAAGGTAGGGGCATGATGTGACTCAGAAAAGGATATCCAAATGGCCAGTAAACATATCAAGAGGTATTCCACTCCATCAGTCACTATGACAAAGGAAAGTAAGAGCACAGTAAGACAACATTATGAGTCCAACAGAATGTCTAGAGTAGAAACTGACAGTACCACGTTTTGTCAAGGATTTAGGGCAATCAGAACTCTCATTACCAAGCATGGTGGCTCACACCTATAATCCCAGCACTCAGGAGGCTGAGGCAGGAGGACTGTTGCAAATTCAAGACCTGCCTGGGCTACAAAGTGAGCTCAATTCCAGCCTGAACAAGAATAGCGAGACTCTTTCTCAAAAAGACAATTAAAAAAAAAGAAAAAGAAAAAAAAAGAACTCTTGCATGAATTGGAAATGAAAATCCAGAAGCCATTCTGGAAAATAACTGTATATGTTAAAGCTGCTACATACATATCTTGTGCCTCAGGAATTTTGCATGAAAGCTAAAAGAAACATGTGTGTTCACAAAGGCTATGTGCTATAATGTTCAAAGTAACACTGATAATCACACTTCAACCCAGCGGATCAACAATTTGATGACTACAATGTATGTAATAGTTTCACACAAGGAAGAACTCCACAGCAGTGAAGGGGAAAAATTCACAAACACTCGGCAACGATGTAAATGAGCCTCACCGAAAATGTTGAGCAGGAGAAGCCACTCACACAAATAGATGTGTGTTGTATGATTCTGTGGATGGAAAATACAAAAATACCTGGAACTCACCAGTGGTATTACTATTCAGGATAGAGATTATTCTCATTTGTGTGGAGATAGGCCTGGCAAGTGCAAGGTCCTGAGTTTGATCCCTGGTGCCGCAAAAAGGGGAAAAAAAAGAAAAGAAAAGAAAATCAAGTAACAAGCTGGGAGGAGCATTTGTAACATGAGTCACTATAACATATTAATATTCAAAGCATATTAAGTACAAGAGCTCAATAAGCTCAATAAGAAAAGGGCAATAATCCAACAGACTAAAAAATTAAAAGCATAAAATATATGAAAATAAAACCATTAAGTTTATTTATTTATTAAATATATGAAAATAAAAACCATTCAGTTTATCATTAAGTTATTTTATCCTCAGAAGGGATTCCTGTGTTTCTTGAAATGTATTTGTCTTGATTTTTTTTTTTTTTTGTACAGGGTCTACAGGGTCTCACTGGGTAGATCGGACTCGTAGTGATTCTCCTGTGTGCAGCCTCCCAAGTGCTGGGATTACAGGCGTGCACCACCACACCCAGCCTCAATCACCATCTCAGCACACCCCGAGGAATGGGCCAGCATGGTGGGCCTGGGGATCAAACCCCTGGCCTCTGCATCTGCCTAAGCAGGCACTTTAATCTGCTGAGCTATTTGGCCAGCCCTGACTTTGGAATGGCTAATAAGGGAACATCCCATGAAACATACATTTATTGTATTTTTCTTTATATAATATATAGATTCCAAATAATTAAAGTTATGTTCACATACACTTAAAACAAGGGTCAAGTGCCAGGGACATAGCTCAACAGACTAAGCACTTGCTTAGGCAAGTTCAGGGACCGGAGTTCGATCCCTGGTATTGTACGCCGTGCTGGCCTGGCCCCCCAGCACACTGAGTCAGTGACAGAGTCCGGGTGTGGTGGCACACATCTGTAATCCCAGTGTTCAGGAGGCTGAAAACAGGAAGAATCACTAGGATTCTGTTCTGTGTAGTGAGACCCTATAAACTATACTAAATACATAAAAAAATAATACTGGACATTCTAATCAAAAAGGATAAGGAGTGAGGATTGTCCTTATTAAACATAATACAGCTACAATAAGTAAAATCATATGGAGCACCTACACAGGTAAACAGAAGAAAATATCCAGAAATACTCTAAGTTATGCAACAGTTTAGAAAATGAAGCCATAATTATCAATAAAAGGGCTAAAATACCATGGAAAATTTACTTTATGATGGTGGAATAGGAAAAAGCATTATAAATAAAATCAAAATCTAGGGGCCCTAGGGGCCGGGGAGATGGCTCAGTGGAATAAGTGCTTCCCTGGCAAGCACAAGGGTCTGAGTTCAATCCCCGGTTCCGCAAAAAAAAAAAAAAAATCTAGTGTCATCTAGTGTGGGTGTTTGGAGAGAGGAATGTGGAGTTTCTCAAGGCTTATTAATCACTGAACAGGCTGTTGAAAATTGACTGGATTTCCTCCTTGAAGAAAATATACCAATTATTATGAGCAATAATCCTGGCCTTGTCCAGGTGTGCGTTGTGACCCTTCTGGTAAACTTTCCATCCTGCTGGCTTCCTAAGAATTGGCTCCAAGTCCCTTGACATTAGTCAGAAGCAGCCGGGTCCGTTCACGTGACTCTGTGAGCACGTCTACCGGCATCCTCTCTAGGTTCTGACCCACGTCTGCTACCTAGCACTCTGTGAGGAGGCCCTCCGATCATCCTGCACCTGCCAAGACCCCGTATCCAGCCAGGGTCCCGCACACTAGCGCTGCCCTCGGTCCTTCCTCCCGTGCTCCTTGCAAGGGTCGTTCTCCTGGGCAGCCCAGTCCACTCAGCCCCTGTAGCTGCACACTTCCGATGACGCTGCCCCTGCTGAGGGCGCTTGAGAGAGGATCTACGAGAATATATTTTCATGATGTATTTTGCAGTAACTTTAGTTTGTACATTTAGGTTATTTGGCACAACTGGGTGGACATTTATTATACAAAGATGAAATTGCAGTTATGGCTGAAGGTAAGCATCAAAGTCATAATGAAATCATTCCGCTGAGGAGGGAACTGAAGAAGTGTAGTATTCTTCTAGGAAGATTTTGGATTTTAGGGCTCTCGCTCTCCCCTTGTTCACTGCCTCCTCAGAGTCAGAATTCCAAAATGTGAGCCACGTGTGGTGGCTAATGCTTGTAACCCCACCACTTGGGAGGCGGAGGCAGGAGGATCACTA